TTGGGGGGGGGGGGGACGACACTTTCTTTTCTTCTTTTTTTTTTCACGCTGGACACGCATTCCAACAAATTTGTCACGTTGTATCATCCGTAATAATAATAATAATGACAGAAAACGCGTCGCAGTCTCTCGCCTCAATCGGGTTCGAAAAGAGGAAAGAAAAAAGAAAAGAGAGAGAGAGAGAGCTCTTCGCAAGGTATTCTGCAATTCCTCCAAAAACAAAAAACACGAGAGAATGCTCTCTCTCTCTCTCTCTCTCCAGTTTTTCCCACCGCCTCCATTTCGCGTGGTGATCCACAGTACAAAACTGCGCGCGGGAACTTACGAGCTCGAACGAGAGGAAACTGCACGCCCGCAATCTTCCGCGAACAACACATACATCCTCCGGGCTCGGTTGCACCAGCTCTTCGATCGATCGATCGATCGTCCGTTCGTTGATGGTGTATAACAACCTGAGCGAAACCTGATCCGCGATATCGCACCACACACACGACTAACACGAGCGTTCGATCAATTTCCCGAAGCGGTCGATGTATCTCCGAGAAACCGAGTCGATGGACTGGGCGAGCTGTTGTTGCTGTTCGCGGCGCAACTGAGCCTCGGCCACTCGTATAGTTCCACGTAGGTCACGTAGGACACTCAACTTTAATGCCTGATCTACAATGTATACTCATTGCGTCCCGTTTCTCGTGTGTTGTGTGTGCCCTCTGTTTCTTTCTCGTAAGTAAACAGAAGTTTTTGCAGAAGAAAGATAGAGAGCAAGAAACAAGACGGAAAGAGCACGCTGTAGACCAAGCTTTAGATTCGTTGGATCTGCGATAGGTGTGATAAGCCTGAGTCCGAATCCACGATAGACGGAGAAAATATTAGTAATAAAAATTGCCATAAAATTTGGTAGCGTCGGGACTATTAAAGATTATCACACACATCATGATTCGACTGATAATTGCTGTCCCAGCATTACGAAATTTCGTGGTAACATTTTTAGTACAATATTTCCTCCGTGTAGATTTAAGCTTTCAGCCTTTCGCGCTCTGAGCATTAAATTATAACGTAATTTCCAACAAAACGCGCCATCAGGCGTCGCGAGTCCCAAGATTTCCGCGTTATCGCGACCTTTTCGCAGCACTGGAAACTGCTTCTAATCGGAAACAGCGTTACATTTCATCGCTCAGAACGCTGAAGGCTGACCCGCACCTACTGCAGATCCGGGCATGAAAGGCCGGATCGGCAGGCATGACGAATGCGGAAGGTTACATTCTGTCTCTCCCCGTGATATCTCAAACTCAACGCGCGAGCGACTGTCTCGCCTCGCGGATCTTCAGGGATTTGTAATCGAGAGGAAAATTCTTAGACAAAAAATCCGCCAACGGACCTACCTACGCGGTTCGCCGCGTGAGAGGTGTTTTTTTGCGTTTATATCGGTGGCGCTTCGAAAGGGAAAGTGTGTGTGTGTGTATGTGTGTGTGTGTGTGTATATAAACTTATATCGTCGCACGCGCTCACGCCGGCCGCGCGATGTCTATGTCTAATTAGCACTCTCTTATAGCGATTCGGTAGCACATTTCGCAGTATATATTATATAGTCGAGGAATTAGCGCGCCTTCGTTCGTTCAAATCGTTACTCGTAATGTGGGCGAGGTTCGTTTACGCGCGAGTCACCGAGGGCTTTCCGGCCGGCGAGTGAGTGACCGCGCGACCTTCCTTGTTGTCATCGCGCTCGTAATCCCCTCTCTCGATTCCTCGTTGCTGCGACGACGGGCCGCGATGTACGATCGTAAAAATAATATCTAAACTACTTGTTGTTGCACGTGTAATTTATTCATTGTTATCAGCAATAACGCGCGTTATACTGCCACACACTGCTGACACTTCGCAAGTAACGACCCCGGATTATAGATGTAAAAAAAAGTGTGATCTCCTCCGGAGTTACCCGGAGTTACTCTCGTCCGACGAGAGGCAACGAACACGGCAGATTCGCGCCATTCGCGGTCTATACGAATTTTCCGTTTGTTTGTGTATGGGTGCGCGTGCGTGTGTGTATGTATGTGTGTCGTTTTCGAGGGGACACTCGATACGGCGAATTAGAGACACGCGAGAAATAGGATGCGAGATGCCCGTTTGAGCGACTTTCACGTACACGGGGAAGGTATTGTTAATAAAAATTGCCACAAGATTTTGTAATGCTGGATCATACCGGTATTATGACTGAATTATGATGTGTGCTGTAATCCTTAATGACGTATATCATGTATCCACATCATTAAAGATTACAACGCACAACCCGGTAAGCAAGAAACATTAAATCGATCCTTTACGACATCGATTTTACAAACATTTCGACACAATATTCGACAAATATTTTCAAACTGTTATTTGATAATATAATATTCATTAATATTAACCCTTTGCACTCCGCTGTCGCCGTAGCGGCGACATGGTTGTTTTGCTGCCTCGGCACTTTAAGAAATTTTAAGTCCTAAAATTTATGTTTTTCTTTTATAATATAAGTTAGAATATGTTTTGTTATAAAATAGCTAAGAAATAAAAATTTTGTTTTATTGAAACGACTCTATTTTTCTTCTACATCATAGGTATGTACTTGGAACTAATAGCCTCTATGCATTACTAGGCTGGAGTGCAAAGGGTTAAAATCGTATAGTGTAGAAAAATTATTTTTAACATTGGCTCCAATATTATTAACAATGGACGTTGTATACACGGGGAAAACAAGTTTTGCTGGAACAGTAAATTGTCTGTTAATACAGTGACAGCAAAAAAGTTCGTTACGCGGAAAAAATAATTTTGCTGTTGTAGCAAAACGTCGCTGCGACATCAACGAAATTTAGTTGGCACAACAAAATTAATTCGTTGCCCGTATATCCAGTAAATAGCAATTAATACTTCCAACAAATCTTTCTGCCGTCCGAAGAAATTTTTTTTGCCGTCGCTATATTAACAAACAATTCGCTGTTCTGGCAAAATTTTCCTTTCCGTGTACAACATTGAGAACCGTATATTTGAAAGTGTCACACATTATTAATAATTCCAGTATAATCCAACGCTACAAACTTGTGAGTAATCTTTATTACAATACTCTCTCCGTGTATCCTCGACGAGACGATGCCGGACAAATTTCCACGATCTATCCTGTTGTGCGATCTGTATTTCACGATCGCGCGCGCACTCGCGCGTATTCGAATTCGATTATACGTACACACGGAACGCGCAATTTAATCGCGAGTATTCCGAATATTCCTCCGAGGAGGAAGACGAGAAACAAGAGGCGACAGAAGAAGAAAGAGAGAAGGATGCAGCGATCAGCATGCTAAACACAGAGCGACACACGATAACCGAGAAGATCGATCGTGATTTTAGCAAGCCGTGGTAGCGAGGACGAGGAGGATACCCGAAGAGGTAATCGCGACCATAAGCGCCTACAGGGTTGGGCCGAGTGCCACAGAAGAACGTATTTCAAGCACCAATTCGCGAGACACAAGTTACAATCCGCCGAAGAAAATTATTCGCGCGACGCAAAGCAGAGGGTGTCGATATGAACGTGTCTTAAAGCAAATCTCGATGATTCGATTCGGAATAAAACAAAAACAAAGAAGAGGATTCAACATAAGCACAGTAAAAAGTTTCGTATTAAATTTCATACACTTCATATATATTCCGAACGGATCCATTTCCAAAGTTTTGTGTTAATTTAACGCAAGGTGAATATGTCGAGGAGCAACAGAAAACAATAATTCACACAAAATCAATATACGTTAATCGACACTATAAAATGTGTTATTTTAACACTTACACATGTTGAATATCGACACAACGCGAAATGTTGATATAACAAATAACACGACATATCAAAGTTAACACACACGGTATATGTTAAAGATGGAGCACAAGAATTTTGAGCACAAAACATCTTAATCAAGGACCGATCTTAACATAAGTACAAAATGTTTTTTTACTGTGTGACATCTCTTTCTCTGTATTTTACTCGTAATCTCTCTTTCTCTCTCTCTCTCGTTCACGCCTCGAAATGCTGCCCAGCCCTGAGCGCCCACGTTACGCGCCCGCGTTCGTTATTCTTAATATCGCATTACCAGTAGTTAGTGTGAGCAAAGAGTTGTATAATTGTACGATATACGATACTTCCGTGTTATTTCCAAAGTTGTTGCTAGCCGACGCGGTATGATTTGACCTCGTTGTCGTTCAACATGCATTTTCAACGCGGTGCAATGTACCGCGAGAGGCTCAGAGACTCGATGCGGGATACATACGTGTACATACAGCGGATTACCGTGAGATCGTTCGTTCCAATTTCGTTCCTTCGCTCTTCGCGAGTTCCTCACGCGCGAGAGGATACCGCGGAGCAGAGTTTCCCCGGGCGATTTCTTTCCTCCCGCGTGCACAGAGAAAAAGGTTCCTCGGTATTTCGTATTTCTATTTATTTGACCAAAATTTGTTTCATAGAAACAATATATAAGGAGTATTATTTGTTGTGAAAATTTTACTGTCTCGTTCAGGAAAACCCGATTACTTGACAGAGAGAACGCTATTATTTGAAACAATATCTTTCAACCGAGTAAAATATTATTTGGCTACAATAAATACGTAAACTGAAACGAATCATTTCTCTATAAGGAAATTATTTTTCGTTCCAAATTTGTATATTTAAGATGAAGATACATACTCGTTGAAAAGTCTAACAATCGCACTTGTTAATGGAAACATTAGTTTCTTTGAAGCGTGCCAATGATGAAATTTGTTTGGATGCAATAAAATTTATCAAATTTGTGGAAATTTTTTTCTCAGTGCATCCACCATGTTTCTGCCCGTTTCTTTTCCCTTCTGTTGTTTGTTTCATCGCATTGAGAGCTTTACAGTACATCGGAGTGAGCCTTCCCTGTATTAAACTAGAGAAATCTGCGCCGGGAAAAAGGATGGATTAATAATAGATTGGAGAAACATCCTTCTTTGTACATGCTACTACGACAAAGAGGAGGATGTATATGTGTATTCTTTTCTGCGAATAGGACACATTCCTTGATGGCTCACTCCAGTAAGCTACAGAGCTCAACATTGTTTCGAGAGTCGCTCCTCCGTTATATCGAGGACGAGGAGCGCGTTCGTTCCATACCGTCTAATGCACACACAGAGTGAGACATTTTCGTTGTCCTTTGATTTCGTTTCGACGTCGTTGACATTTCCGCGATTCCCACCCGCCGATGTCCCTCTTTCGTCGCCGTTCGTTCGCGTTTCTCTTCGTTCCACGAACAACGACATATCTGTGATGCGTACTTATAAAAACGTGTGTAAAAGAGGTATTAACTGTATGTACCTAATGTTGATACGTATATGTATATATAAAAATATACATATGTATAATATATGTTACAGTTAAAGTACATATAATATATGCACTCTGATAATGTATATCCTCTCTCTCTTTCTTTCTCTCTGTGGTTCGATCGGAAATAATTAATTATCGCATAATCGGATAATTTCGCGCGCTTTAACCGTAACATATGATATACGTGTATTCACGGTATCTCACCTACTCTCTTCGCGATAAGTCGCGTAAAACGCCTATTTCTCGACTTACAATGTTACAGTTTAATAACCTTCACTGTTACCCCGTCTTGCATATAACTATATTATCAATCTAATTGACGAGCGTACCGCCTGTCGCCGACATCGAGAGACCGGACGTTCTTGTTGTAAATTCGTTAATATTATACTCAGCTATCACACAGAGAAAAAGGTTTCTTTAGATCTAATATTTCCGTTTATTTGACTAAAATTTGCTTCATAGAAACAACATGTACAAAATATTATTTGTTTCGGTAAACATTTTTTCGTCTCATTCAAGGAAACTCTATTATTTAACAGAAAGAACGCTTTATTTGAAATAGTATAACCAGATAAAATATTATTTGGTTATAATAAATGTGCAAAGTGAAACAGATAATCTCTTTACAAGAAAATGATCTTTCGTTTCAAACAAATTTTTCATTTCAGATAAAGATACATATTTGACGAAAATTCTAATAATCGTACTTATTGATCGAAACATTAGTTTCTTTGAAACATGTCAGTGATAAAATTTGCTTGGATGCAATGTGTTAAATTCGAAGAAATCTTTTTCTCAGTGCAATTATACATATATACACACATATATATATATATATATAAATATATATATATATATATTCTCAATTAGAAACTCGATTATTTATATACGAAACCCACGAAAGAGAGACACGTGACGCGTGTCCTTAAAAGCTACTCGCTGGCACGCGTATATTATTACTAAAGAGATAAACCGAGGAAAATGACGGAAAGAGAAACATTGTTGATTGTACGTTATAAGAGGACAATAAAAAAGAAGAAGAAACTATTATATACCTAAAACCACAACGTGGCCCGGAGAGATCTTTGTCCTGCATTTTATCCCCTCGACCTCGAAAGAAGCGCAACGAAAGCTCCCGGCCGAGAGAATACGCGCGGGAAGAGCACGTGTAACACGAGCCCAGAGAGAGAGAGTGCGGCAAAAAGATGCGAGTGTGTTTATCCAGTGAAATAAAAGCATCGGGAAACAACGTCGCGACGGTCGGGCGGGAAGAGCGGGGCGCCGTCGTAGAATCGAAAAGGACGAGAATATGAAGATCGATTTATTATATTGGAATTTCAAGTCTTTACACAGTGATGATTGTTAATATACAATTAGGTGTATATCGACACAGAATTATCGAGTAATAGAGCGCACTACTTGAGTTCATCGGCGGTGGCGATGTCAGTGGACGGGAGGGGGAGGGGTAGAAGGGGAGGTAATATATAGTAATAATATAGTAATAACGACGGACAGAGCGATGATAGTAATCGTAGCAGCGAGTAACGATGATATATATTATCGGATGATAATAGCCGCAACAATCTCACTAATGCTAATTGGATCTCGTTCGAGAGAGAGACTTTCGAAATGCGGGGAGGGGGAGGGATTCGTTCTCGCCTCAACGCCTTCCGCCGCGTTCGTTTCTGACGAGCGCGACGTGTCAGTTTCTCCTTCGTTTTTTCCTCTTTCCTTCTTACTCTTCCTCGCAAAGACACTTCCGTTTGCGACAGAAGACAGTGGGAGGCAGCGAAACTGCGGATCGTATCGAGCCGATCGATAAGTAAGTCGTTCTCTCGACGATTCGGAGGGAATCGTCTGTTTCTTATCACTAATTTTTCTCACTTTGTTTCCTCCACGGTGAACCCTTTTTCTTTTCTCTTTCTCTATGCCGAACGTCTTTCAAGTGCTCTCGTAAGACGCTGAGACAGGAGTTGCGCGGTGTGTGCGTATGTGTGGACGGGGGCCGACCCTCGTCACCTCGCGCGATGTCGTACCGCCGGAGTAGTTTATGTCTCGTATTTTTTTCATACCTTATATGTCACTACTACATGTAGGCCGTAAAACAACCGCTTGCTTCCCTTTATTACCGTCGTTCCGCTATAAACGTATAAAAGCCGCGCCGGCTGCCATCGAACGGTCGTTCCGCGGTCGCGAGTGGATCCCCACGTTACACCACGCAGCTCCGCTCGGCCAGGTTGAACTTTCCTTACATACGGGGGGCTACTCAAGGTGAGCGGTGAAATAAACTCGCCCGTCTCTTTTTCCGCCCGGTATCGCGCGATATGTATAATATCGCGAGTATTACACGTTACACGCCGCAGAGCGCTTGAAACGGAAGTTTCCGTTGGTACCGATAATTGGAAGCTTCTCCCTTTCCTTTCTTTTTACAATTCACCTAAAATTATATAGATATCTTGCTCCACCCACTGTGTTCCGTATTCTCTTCCGTCCAAACGGAAGTCAACCCTCAACTACCGCGACGCGACACACGCGATCCGTCGCGTGAGATCGAATTTTTCGTTTCCGTTTTTCATTTCTCAACGAGGAATATTCGAGGAGACCTGTAATTCGTTTCTTTCATTGCCGGCCGACGTAAGACCGGCCTTGTCGTTTATTCGCTCCTTGTGTCGTTTGTTTATTAGGATCGATTTTCACCTAGTGCTTGTGATTCAGCCAAAATCAATCACCTTAGTTGAGGGTTCGTTTCTTACACCTGAGCTATTCTGTTTATCCTTTATTCCTCTCGGTGAACGCGCTTAAAACGGGAGGGAGGTAAAGTCGTCGGATATTTTACGTTAGAGTATAATAATCATAATAATAGTAGCAATAATAATAATAATAATAGCAATAATAATAATAATGTGAGTATGTGTTGGGGGTCTATGATAATAATAATTAACGTGTCCATTACATACGAATGTCTTTAACTGCGTTATATCAAATGTATCGAGTACATTGGAACGATATCTAAACTTAATCAGCCTCTTTATATAGTCAACAGCTATAAAACTCATCCGGATGTAAATTACGCCTTAATTATACGTGTATATATATATATATATATATATATATGTGAGTGTGTATGTGTATATCGTAAATACACCACGGACGCGTGTCGCCCAAGCCTCGTTAGGAAGGACTCGACGACAGGACGACGGGTCTATAAATTGCACCCTTATATCTAATTTATACGTGAAGCCCGTAGGCAGGCAAGTCGAACACGCACGGTTGAGCCTTTCGTCCGGCTCGTAATCAGCTGCGTATATAATTACCAGACCGAATCGCGATGTTGAATTGTTAATTCTCTGTGAGCTGAATTATTTATTTCGCCTCAGTCCGGATAAAAGGTGCCGAATTTGGATACAGGATCGATCTTCTCGTCGCCGATTGCGTCGGTGACCAAAAGAGAGAGATGCGATTTTATCGTATTCTTGGAGTTTCGCGCTTCGAAATTTCGCGGTTAATCGATGTGGGCGAAATTATGCCTCATTGAGACCGATTGCCGCGAGAGAAATATAATCGCGCGAATCAGATCGCACATACGTGCTCAGAATTGTGGCGTTATCCGCGAGATTATCCAGGACGATCGCGGAAAAACGGTGAAGCAGTGCCCGCTCGCTTGCCCGCCCGCTTGCTCCTCATGAGTGAGAATTAAAATCGTAATTATCATTAATAGTCGCACGAATCCGATCCCTTATGGCTTACGGGAGCCTACGCGTTCTATCACAATTCGCCCTAGAAAAAGAAACGAATAACGAGTCAGCCACCCTCTCTCTGTTTATGTCTCCTTATATCCTAAACGTAAATTGAAATCCTGCCATCGACGATCGCAAGAGCGATCGCAGGTGCGCCCCTCAGCGAATCGTAATCGCGAGTGGAAGGATGCGCCGACGAAGAGCGACGAGAGTCGCGTTAATTTCCGACCTTGAGCCCCGTCGAGACGCGTAGCAATTCGTCCGAATCAACATCGTACGGAAATTAAGCTCGCGAACGCGAGAGTGAAACAGATCGACCGATCGGAGAAGAACAGAGTGAGAATGGAATCGAGCTTTTCTCTCTCCCTCTCTTTCCCTCTGCCTTCTTTATTTCTATTGAAACTCTTGAGCGTAGCAAACGACACGATCCAGGCTGTGCCGCTGACAATTGACAGCCGAGAGGGTTGTCAGCGCGACACATTAATTTAATCCAGATTCTTCGGGATCCTGAGACGCTCAATTCAGATTCGATATTCTCGATTCTAAGATCGATCTCCTCGGCCGTAGAATCGGCAAATGCCGCGTTGAGCGCCCCGATCGCGAACGGAGAAAAATGTTTCGTTGGTACAGGAAATTGTTAATTACTACCATGAGAAAAAGATTTGTTACACGGGAAAAAATGATTTTGCTGTTGTACGAAATTATTTTAATTTAATTGGCGCGACCGAATTATTTCGTCAGATATCCAATAAATAGCAGTGACGTTTCTTAATAAATCCTTTTGCTGTCAATTAAAAATTTGCTCAGCAGCAGCAAAAAATGTTTCTCCGACCGGCGGAAATAAACTTCTCATGAGCCTCTTATAATTGCGAGCCGTCCGATCCTGCGGTCCCATCTTGGTCGCGACAGAGTCGCGCGCTAAGAGATCCGCCGAAGATGGGACCGGCAGGACGAGACGGTGCTTACAGCGAGAAACAAAAATGTACGAATTGCCTCGCCTCGTGTTCGCAAGAAGAGATCTGTCCTACTTTTTGGCACACGCGTTCGCGCAAAAGCGCGCTTTTCATGATCTACCACGTCGCAGAGACGTCGTTTGCGCGCTTACTTGGGTCGCTCGTGGCGTAAATCAAGTATCACCTTCTCGCTTTTATATCATATACTATAAAACTGTACAATTTATTAAAAAAAATAAAAAATAAAAAAATAAAATCGGTCGACGCACCGATTGAAATCGAGTTAAACGAATTCCGTTCCTAGAGATTACGTATAAGGAACTAACTGCTCCACGATGAGAACTTCGCTCGAAGGGGACGCGCGATTTATGCCGCGTGCGGAAAGCGACCAACGAGTCGCGGAAACTTTATGCTCGCTCTCACTCGCTCGGTCAGTATGATTCGGCGAATCGCCTGCGCGATCGCGCATACACATATACGCACTCACGCACGCAACACGCACGAGAGAAAGACCCCCCCTCTCTCGTGTGTCCTCCACCCTCGATATAATTGTTTCCTTTTCCTTTTATTATTCTACGACAGCACGAACAAATGCTATTGAGTGAGCTACGGTATCTCGAGAGTACGCGTATATTCTAGACCGTTACGATTATTAATATGTAAATATATTGTCGGATATATCAGAAAGCCATTATGTGTCTCCGCTTCGAGCTCTCGGCGAAGACGCCGCCTCGTTCGCAACGCGACGAGCTACGTTCTCGCGCGCACTTCTCCAACAGCTTCGATATCTCGATTCGCTCACGGTTATCCCGAGCCCCGCTCGCATAATTAAGCGGCATCGTTAACGCGAGCGGAGCACGTAGACAATGACTGTCCCCCGGACGTGTGTACCTTTCCCAAGCGGCCGGTATCAAATCGAAGCCGTGACTTCGCGAAAGTTCGTAAGTTCATCCGGCCCCGCTGTTTCGCGCGATCGATGCCGGTCTCGCCCATTAATTACGCGCCGCATTAATCTTCTCGCTGTACTCGCGCGAGGGATGAGGAGGGGATCGCGAGAGGAAAACCGGGACGGTACGTCCGACGAAGATGAAGACGGCCCGCTCGCGAATTCACGGCCTCGATGAGCGAAAGACGCCCGACGTTATCGTTAACTCTCAGAAGCGCTCACAGGATTCGCGAGACACACTCTCTCTCTTTCTCTCTATGCGGCGCCGAGGAGAAAGCGCGCAAATTGTCCGTACGAAGCGTAGTATATTTGCGATCACAATTGCACGGCAGAGAATATTCCATACAGTGGGGGGAAAAGACGTATTTTCATTTCGATTCTCCCGACACTGCGTGCGATACGGAAGAGTGAAGCGGCGGAAAAAAGCAAACGGGCGATGAAATGTTCTTCTCTTCGCGCTTCGAAGAGTTAACGATATTCTTCCTTTTTTTTCCCCCCTCCCTCGATACAAATCGTAACATAAGCTTACGAAACCACGCGTACGTTCGCGACCGTTAACGTAACCCCCTTCACTTCCCGATAAAGTAATAAGAGTGTGATGTGTGTCTTCGGAAACCCCTAAGCTCGCTCGTTCATTCGCCCCCACTTGCACGCTCCTCTCTCCTCTCTTCCTTCAATCGATACCTTCGTTTTTACCTACGTATTTACAGGACTAGAGTCTTATTTAAAATCTCAGCTGCCTGCTCGGCGACGACCGAGATTCATCGATCGCCGCGTTCATTCTCTTTCTCTCTCTCTCTCACACACACACTCTCTTTCTCTCTCTCTCTCTCTTTTTCTCGAGGCAGGCAGAGAATTATGAGCATTAACGCGTGCGTCGTCTTACAAACTACGCTTGAATATCTTAAATGCTACGCGATTAGTGCCCACGAACTCTCCTACGATAAGGATCTTACTTATCAACGAATCTTTTTCTCTAATGTAACTAACTAACGCTATTATATATTCTACGGAGCACCATCGGAACACCCCTTAACACATATCGCTCGGCTGATGCGCCTTTTTATGCCTTAACTGTAATTCTAAGCTTGGCGTACACCTTGATATATCTCTCTCATCACGCGTCTGGACTCGATACCTTTTTCTCTCGTAATCATTAAGATACGTTCCGACCGTCTTTCTTTCTTCGTTCACTTAAACGACGTTTGCTAATCTTCTCGGTACGACGAGCGTGTTTTAAGCCACGTGGCGCCCATTAATTGGCCGAGATCCAATTAACAAGACTCGAGAACGCTTACCCTCTCGCCGACATCTTCGCCCAATAATCATCGTAAAATTACTATCGATTCGTACGAGAATTCCTGCTCATTGAACGACAGAAGAGTTATTTGCATGAAATAACACGTATCGCGACTAAACGTCTAAAAATGACACCGAAAATGTGTATTCGGTATTATTTTTATTATTGACGATAATTTAGCCCAAAGGAGATTTTTCTCAAAAGGAAATCACGTGCACATCGCGAAATATTAAAATCAAATAGTCGACTGTAATCGACGCTCGTGGCGGTTATCGGCTCGAGTTGTCGACGACGATATCGCACCGAGAAGCTGAACGATCTCGCACGATATCACGACGATCTTCTCCGTCTGTTTTCGCACATAAACGCGACACAAACGATAGAAGATAAATCGCACGCGCGTTTGTTACCCGCACAAAAAATCGCGCGTTTCGCAGCAAAAAGATCGATTTTTCGGGCGCGTCCCAAGTAGAAATTCAACCAGTTTCTAGCCAGTAACTGGCCAGTAATTCTCTAACCAGCTGGTTTCCGATCAGTTTTACCGGCAAAAACTTACAAGTTTGGGAGACTTTTGCCTCGGCAATAACTGAATGGTAATACTAGCCAGTTTCTGTTCCTAACAAGATTTTGAACATTTCATTCGTTTACCATTTCATTCGCTTATTATCCTGCCTATTTTCTGGCCAGGAAATTGCCAAGAAATACTAGCCAGAATTTTAAGAGTTTTTGCTGGAAACTTAAACTGTCTAGTATTGACTTACTGTTTTTTTTTTTTTAGTAGTTTACGGTAAGTAACCGGTCAGGAAATAATAGTCAGTATTTTTTGGACAATTTCTGAACTGCCTAATTAATTCAAGCCGGTAAAAACTGTCCAGTTCCTGTCTAGTGACTAGATTCCCCCCAACATTTTTCTACTCAGGGTGTTGATCAAGCACACCCTCCACTGTCCTCAGCTTATACGCGTCCCCAGAGCCTTGGACCTCTCTCTCTCTCTTTCTTCTTTTTCTCCTTCAACAACCTGTACGTCGCCAAGTTTAGGGTCGATGATAGATATATGTATGTACGTACGTATATCATCGCGCGCGCGCGCTCCATTCATCGCGCGAAATGGTGTTTTTTTCCGGTAATCCGACTCGCGTGTATCCGCTCGTTGTCGTGCTTGTCCGTCTGTGTTTACCGGTTTCCGCGAGTGTCCGCGAGTGATACGTGTTAATTAGCGTCGCAAAGGCCGGTATCTCGTTTCGGTCAATTCCATCAGAAGCACTTAATCCGATTACGGTGGCCATGCCGTGCGCCGTGTCGAGGATCTCTCGCTCTTTCGTTCAAAACCTGTTCCCCCGTTTCTCTCGTCGCGCGACACGCACCGAAAGACGGGAAGGATCGTTTCCTTCGCGCGCGCGCGCTCCAACATCGGGACGATAGATAGTCGCGCCTTCTCGATATCACCTATTCCTTCACCCGTTCTATCTCGTATCGCGAGACGCTCGAGTTCCGCTCGGAAGAGACAAAGTGAAATCGACACGCGAGAATAAAAGAGATCGACGGTACTATTGTATCGGTGAGATCCGCCAACCGTGAGAGACGATGTTCACTTCTCGAAGCGTCGTCAGCTTTGAATGAACGAGCTCTACTCGCGGTATCGCACAGGAATCGTAGGAGTATCTCGATATAAAAGCGATTCCGTTGATTGTCGTGTTTGAGAATCTTGCGGCACGAAGTTCAGCTCTCCGCGGGTGGTGAAGAACGGAGGTTAAGGGAGTTTAACAAGTTTGTTAAAAAAAGGAAAAAAAATGACCGGATCGTTACACGGAACAAGAGTGGTTTTTTCCTTCGTTTGACTGGCACGTAGAGGCGATTTCAATCGGTCGGCCGGGGGCATTTTGTTACCTTGCGGCTTTCAGATCCGCTCGACGTATCGTCCATAACTCGTGATCGGCCGAAAACAAAAGTACCGCGGAATCTTTTGATCCGTAAATTTCGAGTTGTTCCCTCCTCGTTCGCGATGCCGCCGTGTTGAATGTTATCCGAGTTTCACGGACGGATGAAACCACCGTGAAAATAATGAAGACGCGATGCGCTTTCAATTAACGAGTTCTCGTCGAAATTCGAAGGTGCGCGCTGAGAATTCGCACGCCAATTATTATTTTTTCGCGAAGTCCGCACGAGAGGGGGGAAAAAATTCCTCGGACTGAAATTTCCTATTTGTTCGACTCGCGGATTTGTTCCATTAAAATAACATAATCCCGCATGAAACGAGTCCTGATGAAACACACGTTTTCAGAATGAAAATTATTCTCTCTTTCTCTCTCATGTTGGATTAAATCATATTGTTCGATGGGAAAAACTATAATTCAATATGTTGTTATTTTTACTAATGTATCGCATAGACCATCAGAAATGTTTGAATAAAAATTCAAAAGCTATCATGACCACTGATTTCGCTAATATATATATATATATATATATGTATGTATGTATAAATTAAGATCGAACACTGCTGGAATGTCGTATGTTCTCGAGACTTCCGCTTTCTTGTGCTTCCGACTCTCGTATTCTCGACATTTCTATTCCTTTCATCTCCACAATCTAGCAACATACACACGCGAGTATTATTCTTATAATAAGTAGATTGTCAGTGGTTACAGTCAATTCGCCCCCCAAAAAAAAAAATGGCGAAAAAGGGGAGAAAACCAAGTTCCCTGTCATCCCGAGAATAAGATAAATTGCTCGTGAACCATTTAGTATCTCGACATCACAAGTCAAACGAAAGAAACTGATTGGCGCCGAGAAGAGAAATCACCGGCGAAATTAGAAGGGAAACGGCTTATCGCGTCAAAACACGCGCAGTCGCAGGCGCGCTTGAGTATCTCTCTTATTAACGTAAGCACCGTTCGCGTCATCTTCGTTAGATCGGCGTGTGGGAGGAGATCGGGGATAATCCGGCCGAACTAAAAATAAGAGCGCTACCCTCGATCCCCCGTGCAAAATCGAGCAATCGGCGGCCATCGGCCCGTCTAGACGAGTGAATCCGAGCGTCTGCCAACACACGTCGTCAGAGCGATCCGTTCTATACGGTCTGTCTTATTTAGTTATCCACCTACCTAGGATTCAATGGGATTCTCCGTCGATCTCGCGATATTGGTTCTCGCAAAAACCGACTCGTGATTCGTCCGCGTGCGCGAAAGAGAGACGGATAGATAGAAGGGGAGGAGAGACGGAGAAGATCGATTCTTTGCTCTCTTTCTTTCGGCAATCGGCGACAGGAAATTGTCGGGACATGGCGAAATGGAGCTTTCCGAATGTCTCGAATTAAGAAGGAACGGTAGGAAGGCTCCGTCTCTTCACCGGCGCTCGCCTCTCGCGAGGAACAGAAGACGCGAAATTCGTCGTCACCGACGAATCGAAACGGTTCCCCTCTCTCCCGGCAAGAATGCGCGAGCCGAGAATAACCGGGACTTTAATTAACACACGCTGACACAGCGTGGACGTCTCGTACGTCTCCCTTCCTTTTCTCCCGCGCAGATGTTAACCCTTTCGTGGTCTCCCTACGCATTCAGATCGGCGAGAGCGTCGCTGAAAATACATCTCGAGCACCCGAGGGGGATCCGTTTTCGTGAGTTTCGGACACAGTCTCGAGGATTTGCGTACAGCCGGCGTTAAGAGAGGCCGTAAGACGCTTTACCGAAAATGAGCCTCGCAGCGCAGCCGCATGCCAATAGAAAAACGTTTGTTCTTCAGTAATTGCCAGGGGATAAATTTGTCTCTGACGGATCCGCCAGATGCGCTCTGAGGTTGCGATCGGGATGGGAAAAAATGTCGCGAGCTTGCCGCCACAGAACCTGCGCCAGGAACCCGCGGAGAATCGAACGCGCGTTCCGCCAAGGAGGGGGGAGAGGGGGAGACGAAGGAACGCGCGAACTTCGCCGATGGCGCGTAAAACGAGGATCGATATGCGCTTAATTGAATACAAGCGATACGAATATACCTGCGTCCTCCGGGTCCCCGAGTGATCATCGATCGACCCCGAGAGACGGGGAACAGAAAAACGCTCTCCGGACCGACAACGTCTCGCGCGTATCTCTCCGTCATCTTCGTATCCGCCAGCCCCCGTCATTTCCCGAGATGTACAAATCGCGTTCACGTCGCGCGGTATATTTGCACCGGGTCGCTCGCTAACGCATCATCCCCGATACCGGTATGACTGGCGGTTAACCAGCGGCGAAAGTGAGCTTTTCGCTTCGAGCGCGATCGATCCGTCACAGCTCGGAAAGAGGCCGGCACTTTCCGACGCGGGATTCTCCCTCGTCGGATTTTCACGCGCAACGGCGCGCGAAACAGGATCGTCGATCCTCCCTTACCACCCTTCCCCTCCGAATTCTGCCGCATCTCGCGATCTGAGTGACCTTCTCTCGAGCCCGCGACGACTCAGGTGGGCACGCGCCCACCTGAAGAGAGCGAAGCCAGGATCGCGGGGGTTAGATTGAATCGCGAGATTCCGGTTTCCAGTCGAAATCAATGTCGGCCGTGTGTGTGTGTGTGTACGCGCATAACGTGGTGGAGCGCGCGACGGTGAAATCGTCGGTTCGCATGCAACGACGGTCGTCGATCGGAAACGATAAGAGATAACGTTCTCCGGCACGTCTCCCGGCGTCGATTAACCTTCACTGCTCTCGGATTGCGCATCGGCCGCGAGGGGATCGGGAGAGATCGGTCGAGCCGCGCTCCGAATTAAGCTCCGTGTCAACCCGACAGGCGCGCATCGTCGTCAGGTGAGAGACACACTCGCACTATACGAAGACGCGTCCGATCAGGGCGCGATGCAAGTTCGTGGAGCCGCGACGAGAAGAAGGAGAAGACGAGCGGAGTCGGGTTCGCCGTTACCGCTGGACGATCGCGAACGTCGTCGGTGAACGGCGAACGCGACAGTTTCGAAGGTCTTCGTCGTCTCCTTACGCAGGCCGACGGTTCTAGATGGAGAGTGGCTCTTCGTCGCAACGGTGCACGAAGCCGTGCTGTTGTTGTTGCAGCTGTTGTCGCTGCTGCGGCTGCTGCATCAGCTGGGGTCATCCGCTGGACTGCTCCGGCAACAGTATGCTGACGGACTTGCGGTTCGCCGTTGCGACGGAGTGGCCGTTCGCGGCCAGTGCGGACGGCGGCGGCCGGTGAGAAGGCGCGACCACGCGCACCTCCGGCCTCGGCGAGGCCTCTCGCAGCGGGCTACCGACGGCGCCCACCAGCTCCTCGGGGTTCGCCAGCGCCGACGGTCTGTAACGACCACGTTCGTTCGCATTGCCCGTCAAGAGACTGTCTCTTAACTGCGGTACATCGAGTTTGTCCCGTCCCATAGTGGGGCCAATTATTGCTTTAGTATGATATGATAATAATCATACTATAATAATAACAATAGCTATAATAATAATAATACTTCATTGGATACTCAGCTAGTCGGGGATAAAAACTAAATAAAAAGTTAAAAGCGGGCAAGAATTTAATTGAATTAGATTTTATACATTTGCGCGACATGTGATCTTACCAAAGTAAATTTCGAAGTATGTGTTTATCGAATGAAGTCGTGCCAATAGTTTAATTACACGTGTGCAATATGTTTTCTCAGCGATTTCGATTTGTTACTTTTTGTCAAATTTTATTTGAACAGTTTTGGCCCCACTCTGTGTCATTGGACAAGTTTTCCATGCAGATTCATGCATCGGGGTTTGTTAACACGTTGATTGCCGCGTTCGTTTCCATTAATTACGCAGAAACACGACCAGTGAGACCGAATTATCAAAGAGGTACGATGAAAAAATGCAATCCGAAACGGATACACGTATCTTTCGTCTCGCTACATTGGCTCTGCGTGCGAGCCATAATAAGCACCTTTTTGAAAATAAAATTAATTATATATTCTATAAATAAATAAATAACTTATAAATAACTTAATAAAACACGTTGATATATGATATAGATCACCGGCATTCAACGTGTCAACGAACGAGAAACAGAAAACCGCCGAAAATTCAGGACAGACTTTGGCTACGCGGAATCCAGTAAATTACACGTTCACGTCGGTAATTCGAATTTGCAATGAAATTGTGGCCATTGCTTTCCGATCTTTCCATTTCTCTCTCCTCCTCTCTCTCTCACTCTCTTCCTTCGCCGTACAAGACGATTTATTTCGCGCAGCGCGCCAATCAGAGCTGTCCGATATTTATTCGACGTCGGAACGCAGGTAAATATAAATGGGACTCACATACCTGTGCTGGGGTGGCGGCGTGGGTGTTCGCGACAGGGGGAAACTGGCGACTTCCCTCGTCACCGAGAGCGACCGGATCGATCCGAATGTTTGGTCCGGCGATAAATTAGCACCAACGCTCTGCACCATGCCACTACTGAAACACAGAGGCATCGGTTGATTGCTCGTTAGCTCGGCGAGATAGGAAGTGTGCCGCGCTCTTTATTCCTCTGTCTCTCGTGTCCTCGGAGAGTCTCTCTCCTCAAACATGTGAGTCAACATTGGCTTTGTTTTGCCTCGACTTCCGCGAAATGTGAATCATTTGCCCGAGGCAATTAGACAAGGCGGGGGTCAACAAGACAGAGAGAGAGAAGACAACAAGGAGAGGGGATAACGGGCATAACTCGTTGATCGAGAAACCGATGTGAAAGAACTCCGAGGATTTTTTTAAGAAACGAACTCGGCCTCGCTCTCCCCTCCCTCCCTCCCTTAGGCTTGCGTTCCTGTTTAAAAACGAACTCTAATCTATCGAGAGTAAGTTTTGAGAAACTTCATAAAGACCGGTGACCGCGGAATGCAAAGCCGAGCGAGGAGAACTTTGTGATGTCGTGGCGGGTTCAGTTTGCCCGCTTTAGTACTCGGCCGAGTGTGTCAGACCTCAATAAAATATGCTTAATGATCTCGCGTGGTGACGCATCGTGCCCGTTTTTTCTTTCTTCTAACGGTTTTCAAGAATTTTACGCTCCGTTACTTGCAGTGTGCGAGAGAGGCGCTCTTACACCGTTATTATGGGGACGTGATTAATGTTAGACACAGTATGCGTTAATCTCTCTCTCTTTCTCTCTACTGCGTTCATACACGTAAATGGAGTTATTAGAATCGTCGGACGTCGACGTCGCGTCTCTCGTGGAGAGGACACGAGAGAGAGAGAGAGAGAGAGGGACAGAGAGAGAGAGTCGCAAGCCTATCGTTTCTCTCGCGGAGATCGACTCACGTTTCTTTCACGTCACGAAATAAAATGTAAGATGTCATGTAGAATATTTTAACAGGCAAGTTGCAGATAATTTGTTCGCATTAATATTAAAGTGAGTAGATTAAAAAAATCTCGACGGTCAGGATATGCGAAAAATAACGTGAAACTCTCCTCGTGAGGCAACAAACGGATTTTCGACGGCTTTCACTGGCCCTCATCATTCCTTTAATTAAAACGTTCCGCGCGATTGAAAAACCTAACAATGACCGATCTCAAAAGATTACCTGCCTCTTTCTTGTTTCGATGACGTGTGTATACAAATATAAATCACAGACTTTGCGGAGACCATGAATACACGATTTCGCTGCTCTACTTCGAATAAATCAGACTCGGGATCACGCGAAAAGTCGCACACACGTGTTATAGCTTACGAACAGATACGCGGTTTTTATAGTAGTTATCTCTCTCTCTCTCTCTCTCTCTCGCTTTTCGCCTCGTGCCGGTTAACATTCGTCAAGCGGCGAATGCCTCCTGGATTTCCGAGCGGAGCAAAGAGCTAATCGATAACTTCGATAGGCACGACGGCCGCTATAGACACGCCTACACGGTTCAATTTGCCTCCGTGCGCACGAGCATCTGTGCCCTTCGTCCGTGCGAGAACGTCCTGTTCTGGTCCCACGTTCTACAAAAGTCGCGAGACTATTTAAAGACGGGAAAACGCGACCGCCAGCGACGAGATGTACAACCGATCGCGCGGTCTCGCGGTAAAACTCGCTATAAAAAAGGCGGCTTCCCCGTCTATAATTATTTCATGATGCAATTAGTTACGTTAATAATGTAGTTGGCACTGGTTAACAACTCGTGCATCCCGTGACGGCACGGGGGGGCCGCGTATCGGGAATTTGTGTTCCGGCATATTGCGCGTCGCGCGCGCGACTATTCGCGAAACGATTACCGCATCGAAGGAGATGGGACGGGAAATAGTTGGCCAAAGTGGATGGTTATCGATATTGCAGCGGGGGGGCCGCCACGAGATGCCGGGTCATGAATTATTCACTCGTGCCGGGGCACGTCGAAGTTATACGGCTGAAACTCCGTCATTCCGCTTGCGTCCGCCACGTGAATTCGCCCCGAGTTTCAGGGTGGCGGCGTGGGACGTCCGGCGAAGACGGACGGACGGACGAGCGTTCACCGAGAGAGAAAAGTGTGATATCTGCATGTGTGTGTGTGTGTGTGTGTGTAATTGTATAACGAAACAATTAGAGTCACGGGATATGTAATAAGTGCTGTTATAGTTAATGATAGTCATTAACGACAACAACCTTGTATGTGTATTGCTGCAGAAATATGTGCCGTCGAGAATTATTATAATTTTACTGAAATTAACTATTCTTCTTTTCCGCCGGTGTTTTCTTGCGGCTAAAAGAAAATAAGAGATCGAAATAACGTACTTGCGGTGTTTCATCAGAAAGATGAAATTCCGCGCGCGATTCGCCATACAGAAAGAAAGCTTTCTTTGGATTTGATACTTGCTCGGGTTTGTTTAATATAAACAACCTAAAGAGAAGTTCTATACAGGAGCGAGTTTCAGGTTGATCCTCGCCCTGAAGAGGTTAACTGAAATGTTGACGAAATGTCGGACATCTTCGAAAGACGCGGTGCGCCAACTCGGAAGCCGCATCGAATAAACAACATAGTTCAATATCAAATATCAGTTTGTTCGAATGAAAATGTTGTTTCACTAGAGTAAACCATGTTGCTCGATAGAAAAAACAGATATTATTTAGAAGAAATGTAATATTTGGTTTTCAATAAAAAAAGAAGAAACAAAGGATATTTCGTTACATATTAAATATAATTCCACTGAAACAAAGAAGCTCCTTAGTATTTTTCTAACATAGATAGAATGTTACTGTTTTCAAATAATTTATTGCCTGTGACAATCATCGCAACGTTTGGATGAAAATACAAAAGAGAAATATGTTGGAGAAACTGAGCAATCCTGTTTGTTGTCGAATCAAACATTCGTTTGCTCCATTCCGAAAGACAAATATCCTTCAGTTAAAGAAATTTCATTCGATCCAAAGAAATCTTAATTTCCGTGTGGAGACGCTGAAATTTATATTCGCCGAAGTATCGGGAGTTGGTATTGACGCACATTCGCAGAGAAATTACGACGGGTCAGCGACGAATTAAAACGTACATTGCCTAGGCTATAAACCTCGCGTAGCTTACGTTATCGTTGGCTATGTTCGTCGCGGGGCTGGATATAGCGTCCGTGAAATATGTATAAAGACGGACGGGGTTATTTTTAGCAGTCGCGGCCTCTGCACGACCGGTAGTCGATGCAGTTTTATGTCGAAAAAGGAAGGACTTTGCGGCGGGAAAGTGCGTTACGCGCAAAATAGCGTCGCGATTGGCGCTCTAAGGGCCTCCACCGACTCCTGTTCTCGCGATTCGGATTGAATTCCAGGTGAGATGGAATCTCGATTAAAAAGGCAAGGGGGACGTGAACTCGATTCCCACCGCAATGAGAAAAACGAAAGGAGACAACAACACGAGAGAATTGTTAATTCGCGCTCCTGAACCGCTGATATTCGAATCTCAGAAACTCGTTCTCCGTTTCTGCACTTTATGTGCGTAAAGCAGTGATTAATATTTTCAATGATAATACGGTTCCAAGTTCACAATTCCTCGGTCCCCCCCCCCCTCTCTCTCTCTCTCGCCGAGCTTAGCACAACGCAAATTGACTCTCGGTGCTTCACTGCTTTTGCATGGACGGGACACAGGACGAAAACCGCGTTACAACTCACCTAACAGAGCCCGAAGTCACCAGGAAGGGCATGGGCGTCGGACACGGGCTCAAAGGCGAGCTGCTTACGGAACTGCGAGTGCTGCTTAGAACTGAGTGCGGACACTGCGGCGGGCCTGCGTGCGCTCCTCCGGCACCACTTCCGCCCTTGCTGGACGCGCGGCCCTTCAGACACGGGATCTTCGGCCACCCGCTCACGTCCTTGCCAGATACCCCTGTAACAAACACGTAGTTTGCGCTTCAGGCTTGAGCAGTAAAACGTGAAGAAAGGAGGAGACGCGTCGATTGGTTCGAACGCGTTGATTGTCACGCTGACTCTCATTGGCTGTGAAAATTCGAATTTCGCACCTCGAAAAGAAATGCTTTTAATCTCTCTGATATAACAGTCGTCCTCGGCGCCGGTCGTTTCTTCTTCGCCGACCTATCAGAGAAATAAAGAAGAACCGTTTGTATAAATTCTTCCAGCTTCGCTCCGTTGCGTACCGATATAGCCCGGTTCTAATAAAATCACAGTTTATTGGGGCAGGTCGGTGGAGAAAGAAAAAGAAAAACAGCCGAAGCAAACATTCAAGAGAGTAACGGTTTGGCCAAGGACGATTGTTGCTTAATTGGCTGACCGGGCAGCCGCCGAAATCAGGTCGTGCCGCTTTTAGCGAAGACCGAGAGACTAAATCTACCAGCTAGCTTGTTGTTATACCGTATTAATCACCCCCCGGATAGGCCACGCGGCCACCCGAAGAGCACATAATAGCTTGACCTTACCGACGAAATAAAATATCCCGCCGTATTGCACGCGAGCGTTGCGCAGTGCGAACGTGTATCATCTTCGCGGGACGACCAACCCGGTCGTCCGAACGACGATCGACATTTGATAATTCACGAAATATCCGCAAAGGATGGAATCGGGGCACGAAGAGGAATTAGCTGTCCATATAATACAACTGAAATTTAGTTACCAGACTTAATTTTCAACTGGTGGGAGCTGAAAATTAGATTAGGGACAAAGAGAACCAGCAAAATGATTTCAATTTCATTTGTATGGACGACTAATTTTTATCCGTGGGAGATCGTTTTTAGCTGCGGGAGCTACTTCTTTCTTTCCGTGAGTTCGGGCAGGTTCGGGATTTTCAGAATGAAATGATTATTAAAATACTTTAATTTTTCGTTTCAATAATTGATGTAACTTAGGAGTTATTCAACAATTACGTCACACGACGAGAGAAGGGGAGCCTTAATTAACCTGCGTGACGATTGTGACGGCAGGAAAGGAAAAGGAGTAAAGATTATGAAACGTCACATTAAGACCTCGGCACACGGTGCTTATTTTCGTGCTGGATTTAAAGGAATCTAGTAACATAATATAATGGCGGAGGGGGGTGGGGAATTTCACATGTCACGTAATATCGGAATTTTTTAACTCTTATTAATTTTATTCGCCTCATTTGTTTAAATTAAAAATTCTCTTTAATTTAGCAACTTTTCCTATTTTACTTTACGATCTGACATTGTATATAAAAGCATTGCGTAATTTTAATGTTACTTCTTCGACTCTTCTCTCAATTATTAAAACTTATTTTCAAAAATTAGGTTAATCGCGGATATTCCACCATCACTTGGAAATTGTTTTAATATCCTCAGTACAGAGGAGGATCCGAATGTGTTTTGGGCTTTTTCATTATTCGATATTAATCGCGGATCATCCACGGATGAAACGTATTACGTCTTATCAGCGTAATACCGTTATCATGGCGCAGGCGGCGTTACATAATCTGACATAGGTTATGAGTTTTATCCAGCTGAAGTAACGCGATAACCGGAGTCTCCGTGTCTCGCATGCGGCAATTTAATTGCGACGTTACAATTAATTAATATGTCAGCACGATTTTGTTTAATTACGCAATTGACATTATTCTCTAGAAAGACACTAAAAATATGCGAAATTAGGCCTCGGCAAATTATGTAAGGTTTCATATATTCAATTAGTCTCCGTCGGACGGAAATCAATTTTCGCGAATTCCGTCATGAAATCGTGTCGAGTTTCCGAATCAAATCAACGCATTGGTTAGATTCCCGCCATATTC